ACTTTTTCTTAAGGGGATGTAGTGTGAATACTTTAGGCTTTGCACGCCAAGAGGCGAAGGCAGCCTCTGCCCAATTACGCCACCTGCCGCTATGGCAGAGGTGATAACACGGCCAAGATGAGCACGGCCAATAAGTGTGGAGTGCACAGACACAGGCAGTGTGGGTCTGCCCGGACATACCCGGTGAGCCCCCGAGCTAGAGGGAAAGTGCAGCGTCAAGAAGAGAAGGGAGCGGACTCAGAGCCACTAGAGAACTGAGCTAAGAAGACTTAGGAAAAAGAAGTGGAAGTATGAGAGAAGGAGCCACCATCCAGAAAAGAAGGGAAGAGAAAGCTGTGGGAAGGAGTGCCGGGGGCAGGGAGCACGGGCGTTACTGTATATCGGGTGTCGTCGGGATGAACGGCCACTGCCACATCTCCAGGCAACGTCTCTGGCCTCGTGGTCCCTATCACGACCTCTGCATCTGAGGACAAAATTCAAGCATGTGTAGCTAGCAGTCATTCTCACTCCTCACTGCAGACACAGCTAAAGCCAGGAGAACTGGAAAAGGGAGGGGCGGGAGCAGTTGAGGTTGGGCAGACCCCCAGAAGTAACTACAGAAAATTAAAACCAGTGTTTATAGGAGCCTGGGTCAGTATATGGTACCAAGGAATTCCTTGACAGCTTGCACAGGAGAAATGGGTACGGCATTAAGAAATGCAACCAGAATCTTTGATGGTATCCAAGGGACACTTAAACACTTGGTGTCCTAATCACAAACGCTGTGCATTCTTTGGGTCTGGCACCAGCCCCTCCTACACGAAACAGACTCTGACATTCCAACTCGCTTATCTTCCCCTTCTCTGAACTCTTCAGAACACTACTGTTCAAACCACACTTCAGAACTAATCTTTCATCTCTTTTGGAGGTAGCAGCCTCCTGAAGAATTATACTAAGCTCCCAAAGGGCAGTGACCATGTGCACTTTTCTTATATGGCCCAAACAGCCAGGGAAAGTCCCCATGAAAACACAAACACTACCAATGTTCCTGTGTTGGGCTGATGGCCCTCCCACCAGGTCCTGTGTGAAACAGGCTGGTGGGCTCCCTCCCATCAGCCCAACACAGGTTTGAGGAAGCAGAGGAAGCAGAGATCAGTGGGCAACCCTTCCAAGGACTGCACCCACCAGGCTCTCCATCCACAGGGAAGGCCACAGAGACAAGTAGGCCAAAAGACACAGGGGTGGGGAAGCCGGGCAGTCGAAGTTCTGTGTGGCCAGGCAGGGACCGGGTCTCCACCTAGAGGCATGGAAGAAGCAGGGTCTGAGAGCAGCCCTTCTTCAAGGCTCATAGCCAGTCTTCCCACCTCCACTCCTCTGCCCGCCCGGCCTCCCTCTGCTCTCACCTAATTCTTATGTAGCACAGTTACAGTAAATATTCACCAGACACTTAAGCCACACACAGGTTCTGTGCTGAGCACCTTGCATGAGTTCTCACTTCATTCTCCCAACACCCCCAAGACACAGGCATTCCCATCAGCCCTGAATGACAGATAAGGAAAACTGAGGCTCACAGGAGCCAGAAGTCGCAGAGCTGGCAGGTGGCAGGGCCTGGAGCTACGTCCAGGCCGTCTGGCTCCAGGGTCTGGGCTTTCACCCACCTCAGCACCCTCACAGACCTGTTTAGCTTTTTCTGCCTTACCTCAACGTCGGAGATGGCTGATCTTAAAGCGCATGACCAGTTGACAAGCTGCTGGCTGCGGTACAATAACCCTGCCTTATGAAGTCGCACAAAAGCTTCAGTCACAGCCACTGAGGAACCCTAGAATGACCTGAGTGTCCATATCCAACAGCCCCTTCTCAGCCTGTCACCCCATTCAGGGACCATCACTCCCACCCTGCTTTTCCCCACACACACCACAACCCAACTCCCTGTACATCTCTAAACACCTCCCTGACACCTACAGGGACCAGGCTGGGCACACTCACAGCGTCCATAGTGAAACATTCTCGGTCCCAGTCCAGGGAGGCCCCCAGAGCTCGGAGCTGCTCACAGATCTCTCCACCCTTCCTGTGTCCAGAAAGATCTGTCAGCAAACACGTCCCAAGCACCAATAATGTACCAGGCCCAGTGACACCCCAGCAATGCTGGAGGCTGGGGTGAGCACAGCATTGATCTAGCCTCTAGAAGCTAATGGGGACAGACTCACAAAGCCTCTTTTACAGGAGGCTTTAGTGTGAAGCCTCCTATGAAATTTTAAAAAGTATAAAGGTCTACAGTAACAGAAGAAGGGGCAGCCAATTTGTGGGAAACCTAAAGAAGCTTTATGAGAATGGCATGTGATAACAGACCCAGAAAAATGAAGGCAATGTCAAGCAGATGGAAGGTGGGGATGGGTGAGTAGGAGAAACGATGCAATCTAGGCAAGGGAAAATGGAGTAAGTGGGGAGGGGAGAAGTGTACGTGTACACATACATATGCACATATATACTTCAATATACACATCTTATTGTATCATCCTGACACAGAGGCACAGACACACAGAGAAAATACACACAGAAACACATACATGCACACATACACACACAGCGTGGAGACCCCACCAAACTCTAGCAGGGGTGTCCAACCTGCAGCCATGGGCCACACGCGGCCCAGGATGGCTATGAATGCGGCCCAACACAAAATTGTACATTTACTGAAAACCTTTTTTTTGGCTCATCGGTTTCCATCAGTGTTCATGTATTTTAATGTGTGGCCCAAGACAATGCTCCTTCTGCCACTGTGGCCCAGAGACACCAACAGGTTGGACATCCCTAGAGCTCAAATCTCCAGAAGTTAGGGAAGTGGGGGAAATGGAAAGAGCAACCATAAACAGGGAGAGGGGCAGAAAAGCGAGGCCCCAAACCCATGATTCACACCTCCCTGTGTCTGTCATACTCACTGCTCCTTCCACTTCCACACCTCCTGGAGGAAGTCTTCCCGGCTCAGTTCGTGTCTTCTCACCCCTCGCTCCTTCCACAGCTGCTTCTCCACCACAGCCTACCAGATTAAGGGGCAAAGAAACAATGAATCAGGTCACTTCCCTGGGGAGAGATCTCTTTCACCCAAGAAGAGTAAACAGTGGCAAATGACATACTTGGGTAGCGATTCCTGCATGATCCGAGCCAGGGACCCACAGCACCTGATCCCCACGCATTCGGTGCCTGCAACCAAAACACCAGCCCAGGAAACTCTGAGCTTATGTTTATCCTCACTCCTGGCCCCTTTCCCTTCCCTCCAAGAGCTCGACCAACCCCTTTCCCCTCACCAGCGCACAAGAGCATCCTGGATGGCCACTGTCAGTGCATGCCCGATGTGTAAGGAGCCAGTGACATTGGGAGGTGGAATACACATGGAAAAGGTCTCCCCTGTAGCCTGGGGCAGCTTGATCTAGAAGCAAGCGACAAAGTCAAGGGCAAGAGAAGACAGGATCTTAACTGGTGAATAGCTCCCTCTGGTATCTCCAAGGCATAAAGAAGAGCAGGAAAGAAAGGTCCTAGAAATAACAGGGAAAGGGAAAACCCGCTAACAGAATGCTTTGGAGACACCAGGAACAGTTGACGAGCCCTCTAATATGGCTGGCTGTGAGCGCCAGACTCTGAGGCTCGGTTGTACCCACCAACCTCATGGTACCCCTCCCTGCCAGGTACAAACCTGATATTCTGGCTTGAAGAAGCCCTCTCGAACCCACCAAGGGTACCAGGCTGCTTCAACATATCGGGGGCTGTATGCAGGAGGTAAGGGCTGGGAGACATCTGTGGAAGCAGAGGAGAGCTCTGCAAACTCCTGAACTTCACTCCCAGGATGCATTTCAGCAAACCAAACGGGCAACGAGAATGTGAAAGAGAAGACCTTCAAGTTTCCTAGTTACCTTTCTTTTCACCAAATTCTGTGGGGATTTCATACAACACTATTTCTTTAGGAGTCCAAGCCTTACTGGATTCTGCAGGTGACTGGGGGGAGGGACCGGAAAGGGAAGACACAGTTCCCAGTAAATGCTAGGCATGCAGAACCCAGCAGTCTCTTCCAGCCCCCTCCCAAATCTCAGACAAGCTGTGTGACCCCAACCTTGTTCTTCCGGGCTAAGCCAGCCTCCAGCGCCACCTGCTTCTCTCGCAGGCGCTTCCGTTTGGCTTCCCGGTTCCTCTGGGAGATGGGAGATCCATAGGGCTCTGACTGGGTGGACAGGGTACTGCACCTGGGGAGGCCCCATGCGGGCCTCAGCCCCCGTTGTAGAAAAGAGGCCAGAGGCAAATGAGGCATCAGGGGTTCCTGCAAAGAGTCCGCGATCTGTTCCTGACAGACAAAGCACATAGAGAATATGGGGGAGCGGGAGGGTCACAACCCTAAAGCCACACCCTATCTCTTAATTCCCCGCCTCCTACTAGCACTGCTGTTATTCTATCCCTTCTCCCTCAACCGGTACTCCCGGAGGACTACAGAACATGTCGACAATAACAGGATCCTGGAGCCACAAGATGAGGTCTCTTCTGGGGAAGGGTCAGCATTTCTGGCCCCCAACATATGCGTGGGACACGTGGGGTGACCGCTAACACATGGGAAGGTAAAGGATTCGGGGAGATGACCGATATCTTCCTGCCAAAGACCAGCAACGTGTCTTGCCGAGTCACCGCGACCTCGGCCTGACCAGACACACCGCCCTCACGGCCTCCAGCTCCACGCGTCCCACCCACCGGAGGCCACCCCGGCGCGCTCATGCAGCGCGGCAATGGCTGAGCAGGGGAGGATGGGAAGGATCCACCAGCAATCCGACTCCGGAACTCCTGAACAGACTGTTGTTCCTGGAACCACACTGCTGTGCGCACCACGCTGGGTTGCCCGGGGAGGCGGGGCAGGGCCGGTAGGTGGGGTAGGACTGCGCAGGCGCAGGCGCCCTGCCCCGCCCCCACCCCGCCCCCTGACCAATGACCGAAGAGGCTATGAGCCGAACCCGCAGAGAGGGAGGTACTGGAGTTCACGTGGCTCACTTTCAAAATGACTTTATTTAACAGTCTCCACTAATAAGTAAAAACCCCTGAGTTAGAGGACTGAGCCTGGCTCCTGTCCTAGTGCATATGCTCAGGAGCTGTGCTTCTGCCGCTTCCAGAAGCGCTTGACGTCACCATGGCCAGCTGGTGTCACTACCATGAGCCGCTTGGCAGAGTTCTCGAACACTAGCACGCCCAGCTCCCGCGCGTGGGCCAGCAGCAGCTCAAAGTCCACTTGCGACAGGAACTGGTTATACAGGACGCCTGGGGACCGAGGACAGGCAGCAGGGAAGAAGAGGAGAGACCATGAGCCCCTGTGGCAGGCCACCCACCACAATTTAAACATAATCTTCTATGTCCTGTCACAGCTCATCCAGCCATATTCAGAGAGGCAATATAATACAAGATAACCCAGTAGTGCTCAACAAAACCAGAGCAGTGCTGTGGATTACTCCTCCCAAATTTTCTCTCCTAACTAAATCCAAATTGTAATTTGAGATTTTATATACAATTACCAACTAGCCCCAAAATAAAGTGTTTTGTAAGCAAGACAAAAAAAACAAAACAAAACATCAATAGCTTTTTCAGGTCAAGACCGAATTGTTCTTCCTCTGGCCAGTGACCAAGAATCAACAACCAGAAGTCACCCACCCTCAGTGAACCGGAGTCTGTCCCTTTCCAGCTCCCACAGCTGAATCTGGTCCGTGATGGTGGGCGGCAGCACGGGTGTCTGCAGGAGCAAGGGATGGACGGAGGATTCAGGAACACTGCTGCGACAACCCATTCCTCCACTGTTCCCCAGAGTTTCCACCACTTCATCACTAGGTGCCAGGGGCTGTCAGCCTCCAGCGGTTTGGTGCCTAAATATACCTGTTTAAGCATCACTGGGTGGGCCCTTGTCCTGAGGAAGTGAATGATCTAGAAAAAGAGAAGAATGTGGGTAAAGGGCTCAAATAAGAGGGCAGGAAAGCTACTTGGGCCATCGCCTAATGTCAGTGGAACATCCCTTACTGTTTAAAAAAACTCACAGCCATATGCCTGTCATCAGCCCATGCCCCTGTTCAGCTGTTGTCCCAAGTTGCTGTTCCCACTGTCAAGTCTGCCACTCCTTCTCTGGCATGTCTGCCCTTTGTATGACCTTGTTTTGTTTTTCTTTAAAATAGCAGCACTGACTATGTGGCAGGCTCTTAGCTCAGTGTTTTACCACTGTTCTCTCACTAAAGCCTCTCCAAAACCTGGTGGGGTGAAAACTCATTATTTCCATCTTCCAGATGAAAAAACTGAGGATTGGAAACAAAGCAACCAGCCTGTTCATGCAGCTAGGAAGTGGTGGTACCAAGATACAAATTCAGAGCTATCCCCTGTCCCTCAGGGCTTTCTCTCCAATATCTGCCTATTCCCACACCTAGAGCCTGGACTTCTCATGTGCCTGATCTATGCTCAAACAGACAACTCAGCATCAACTCTGTAATAGGCCTGGTGACCACCCTGTACCCCACAGCACAAGTGCAGCCTGTCTTCCCACCAACCCCTAAGGGGGTGCCTACCTGCTGGGCTGTAATGCCACTGGCGATTGCCTGCTGGACACTCTCCCGGGTGACCTGTGCCACCACCATGTTGGGGAAGCGATAGAGCATCTCCGAGAAGAGGGCAATGAGGGCGATCTGCAGCTCTGACTCTGACCCAGGGACAGGAAAAGAGGATGATGAGGCTCCCCCACACCCAGACGTCCTCTAGCCCTGCCCTCATATGTGAAGGTAAATGTCAGAAAACTCTGTAAATTATCAGGTGAACTGAAAAAATACTGGTTCCTTCCTGCTTCCTTTGCCCCTCCCACTCATCCCCAGCCTGCTCTCCCAAGGGCCCTCTGTTGACTCACCAGTGTAGGCATACAGTCGATAATTGGTTTCCACGACAATGAAGCCTGGCTGATGCGCAGTGCCCCCAGCCCCAGAAACACCTGATGAGAGGTTGATGGCCAGGCGTGTGGGGTAGTAACGCCGAGACTTCCTCTGGAAAGGACAGAAGGGAAAGGCAGAGGGCCCTCTCTCAGGTGTCACTGCCCTACATCTTCCTTCCTGAGACATAAGATCCCTCTCAGTGCACCGAGCCTCAACTCCCAACTTCTCTCCCCAAGGGACCCAAGTATTCAGTCCTGGCAACTGCTTATTACTGTCTCCCCAAATCCCCCTCCTTTCTAAAGGCCAAAGCAGCATGCCACCCTGCCTCTTCCCTAGAAGCCATGTCTTTGGGTGCTCATACCTTCCTCTGGAAAACAAGTCCAAACTCACGCAGATGTTGCAGGAAGTTCAACAGAGAATCACTCATACCTTCCACAGAGTAATCCTGGGGAAGAAAAGTAGGCAGCTGGCCTCCAAAACACATCCCCTTCTCCTGCTCCCAACCCAGTCCATCTGCTCCCTCTTTTCCCACCTCTGCCCATGCTTTGTCCATTCTCATCTTTCACTCTGTAGCCCCACAATCCCACTCCCCCTCCCCACCTCTCCCCCTTCAGTTCACCCACCTAAGCCTCCAGCTCCAGCCCCTGCCCCCCTGCTTACCTTGCCCAGAGTAGAGAAGCTGAGCTGGAAGAGGAAGGAAAGGATCTCCACTAGGTCCATACCTCGACTCTAAGGAGCGATGGGCAGAGACAAAGGGCAGGGCAGGAAGGAGAAAACGAGAGACAAGAATGTCACACAGCAGAGTCTGTAGGCAGCAGTCTCTGAGTGGGCCTTGAGAAGAGCCAGGAGTGTCGGCGAGTGGTGCCTCACCTGGGCTGTCTGCAGATACTGTAGCATAAAGTACCAGAGCTGGGCAGGCGTGTCCAGCAACAGGAACTGGAAGCCAGCAGAGGTGATGCTGGGTGGTTCTCCAGGCTCAGCACTGGGGACAGAGAGGGGGACAGAGAGAGGGACAATGGGAGAGGTGTGCAGAGAAAGGCCACCATCCCCACCGGTCCTCTCATGTCTTCTGGTTTACCCCTGGCAACGCTCCACTCGACTCTCCTTTTTCAGTCAACCCCCTCCACTTCTGACCCACCCAAACACTCAGTTTAGCGGGGACCCTCCGATACATCAAACTAGGCTGCTGTCGCACCCCTGGCTTCCTCACCTCTTCATGAGCCCAGCCTGGATGAGGAGCTGAGCCAAGTCCTGACTGACAGCTGCATCGGGGGAGCCCACCATGAAGTGCAGCACCACCTGAGGAACGCGAGAAGACAGAGAGATGCCTCTGGAGTCCACAGGAAGTAGGAGCACAAGCAGAGATACACACAGAGTCCTACGTCCTCACCTCCCATCGCTCCTCGGCGTACTTATCAAGTGAGGGGACATCCCGAGTATGCTTATCTGGTCCCAGCTGACTTGTGTCATCAGACCAGGCCTTGCCCCTATGCCAGGATGGACCGAGAGTGAGGAGCCCTGCCTGTGTTCCCTGCCCTCCCTCTGCCCTCTTTCCACCCTCATCCCCATGGGTCACGAGCAGGAGGTCTTTCCTACACTGTGCAGCTGTATCAAACTTATTCCTAAAGGAGCTCCCAAAGGTAGAGCCCACAAGGTTCCAGACAGGGCCATCACAGCTCTCCATCCAGAAGTTTAGTTCCCCTGGCCCAGCTGAGGAAGAGGTGGAAGTGACATACCCACCCAAAAGGGCAATGCGGAGGTTCTGGCGGAAGATAGGGTTGAGGATGAGGCCCTGGAGACCACCAGGGAGCAGCTGGGCGTGCCAGATACGGAGGCTGCTCAGCAGCCCTGTACTATCCTCCTGAGCCCTGAAACAGAAGCAGAGAGGTGAGGGGGTGTCTGGAGAAAAGAAAGGAGGCCCATAAAGTCCCCCACTTCTGCCTTTTCTGAACCGGTGATTCTTGGATCACTGTTTCAGAGAGAAACAGTGTCTTCTTAAGGCAAATTTCTTTGCTGCAACACTTACCCAAGCCTTTGTATAGACATCACAACTCTCCAAGAGGGAAAATACAGCATACAGAGTTTCCCAATCTTGTTTAATTACAAGTTTTGTGGTGTACCCATTAATATTTCCTGGAAGTGTTCCAAGAACAGCAGTTTGGGAAATCTAGCTGTTCAGAAATTTGTATTTAGCTGAGAATTCAGCACACTCACTTGCTGAATTCCTTCTTCACCCACAGGGTCACAGCAGCTTGTGGCAAAGGCTGCTCCAGAAAGAGCATCCGCATCACCCAGCTCTTAGCCAAAGACGGGAGCTCCCTACAGGGGACAGAAGTAAAATGTTAATATCAGCAATTGCCTTAGATCTGCATCTCTGTCCCCAACCCGCATCTCAGCCTCTCAAACATGGTGGTTGTGTCCCCCAACCACCCACACACCTTTACCAGTGTTGCCATCCCCAAAAACACTATCTGTTTTGGCCTGAGACACTTTAATCTCCAAGTCCCTTAAGACTAAGCTTCCACCCATGATAACTTATCTGTCTGCAAGCCTCATTACATTGCCCCACCACGGTCCCTGCCATGTAGGGCATCCTCACCTGAAGACAGCCAGACAGGTAGCAGGGTGTCCATACAGTCGATCCAATACCCCAGGGTTCAGACCTCCAAGGAACTCCTGCAGATTCCTGCATTGTAGATGTGCTCGGTTCAATCCAGCCTTTGAAGGGGTGCTCTCCATCACCTGAGAGATGCAAGTGTTAGAAACTCATCCCCACAATGCATGCCAGTGTCATCCCTCACCGTTTTCATTCTGGTCCAGATCCACTGGCTCCCACCATGTGGGCCCATCTTTTCCATGGTTTCCCTTTCCATGTCATTCTTTTCTTGTTTCTCCCAAATCTGACCGACTTCCTCCTTTCCTGCCTGGTCACCCCACTTCTGGCCTCAACTCCAGTCTTCTCTCAATTTCTAATGAACAGAATTATTAATTGCCCCTTATCTGAATTATTTTGCATTTCGATGATTTGTCTCATCTTTACTAAGCAGTGACAAAAAGACTTGTTTGACCCCAATCCTCTCTCCCTTCCACCTGTCCTGGTCAGAGCGGCCCATAAGCTCCACATCTGTCAGACTTTCCCACCTACTTCTTTGCCCCACTTCTCTTGCTGGGCATAGCAATAAACTACCTCTCCACTCCACGTCTAATTCTACCTCTAATTCTAACTCTACCTCAAATCTAATTCTACGTCTTTCCTCTCCCTCCCGAAGAGTACTACTTCACCCCATTCAACCTGATCCACACCATCCAACCTCCTAACTTCTCCCCTTCTTCTCTCCCACTCCTCCCTCTCACTCACAGCTCTTTAACTCCACCGTCCCCTCTCCCGGCCCCCTTACTACTCTGCGTTGATTCCCCCCTTGCCCACCACGGGTTCCAAGCCGTCGCTTAATCGGAGCGTGGGTCGCGCATTGGTTCCCGAGAATAGGGGAAATGATAGTAAAAATAAAAAATAAAGAGAGAAGAAATTCACAGACAAGAAGCACCACCGTAGGACTCAGAAGACTAGGGAAGGAGTGAAAAAAAAAAAAAAGTAGGGAGGATAAGAGTAGTTGTTGCACTCGCTGCGAGGCATACTGGGATTTGAAGTTTTGGTTTTTTTCACCCGCCAGACAGGATGGAGTGCGTCTGACTACAACTCCCAAAAGGCACCGCAGGGAAGCCGGAAAAAAAAAGAGGCTTGCCTTTAATTGAAAGCTCTCCGGACAACAAAGGCCAAGCCAGTTGGTTCCACGTCGCTTTTTACCCTGGCCGCCAACGCTTTGTCTAACCCGTCCGACATGGAAGCGGGACCAGAGAATGGACGCGCCCCTAAGACTCCTGGTGGAGACGCTCACACAGCTCGGCGGAGAGGCGCTGAGGTTTAGAGACTCACGAAACTAGGTTCCTTGAACTCAGTTGCTCCTGGTAAAATTGGAATACTGCGCTCTGCAGAGCGCTTTCGCGAGTTAGAAGTTGTTAATACAATCCAATGCGTTCTCACTGGGCACGTTAAGTATAGATCTTAATTGCTATGTCCACCGTGCTTCAGCAAACCCCCCGCCCCCCATTTAATGAGAAGATCCTAGTAAATACAGTGTTTAACAAAATGGTTTGCTTTGATTTATGAAACTACTGCAGGCAGTGAAGGCCAGAGCTACGCACTTCCCTAAGTTCCTATAAGGCCAGTTTTTTTTTTTTTTAAGGTTTTATTTATTTATTTAAGAGAGAGGGGAAGGGAGGGAGAGAGATGGAGAGAAACATCCGTCCATCAAACATCCATCTAGCAGTTACTTCTAGTACGCTTCCCAACTGGGGATCTGGCACCAAACCCAGGCACGTGCCCTGACCAGGAATCAAACTGGCAACATTTCGGTTTGCAGGCTGATGCCCAACCACTGAGCCACACCACTCAGGACAAGGCCAGTTTTATTATTACCATTTTACAGTCTAGAAGACTGAAATCCAGTGAAATCAAATTTGCCCACAATCAGACAGCTAGAAAGTGCCGAAGCCCGGATTTGAAGGGCCTTTGCCCAGGATGGGGGACTAATTGTACAACACTTTGTCGTACAAATTAGTTTTGTTTGTTTTGTTTCTTTAGCAATCAATGTTTAAAATCTTCAAAGAAGGCCACAAAACTAACACAGCTTCTATATGACAAATATTATGTATAGTTAAAAGACAAATTACAGTCTAGCAAGAAGTATTTGATAAAATGGAAAAAAATACAAAAAGCTCTTATAAAGCAATAAGAAAAAGAAACTATCCAGTGGAAAGATTGACAAAAGAGAAAAACAGGCAATAAACAGAATACAAATGACTTATAATCAAGTGTAAAAACTGTTAACTTCACGAGTAATTAAGGAAAAGTGAATTAAAGAAACAACACATCCAATTGAAAAATAAGGATTGACCACCTTGATGTTAGCCTTGGTGTACAACATATGAGCACACTCATATAGTGTTGTTGAAAGCTGACATAGGCATGCTGTTTTAAAGGGCGGTTTGGCAGTACATACCAACAATTTTAATGTGACTACCCTTTGACCTAGCAACTGCTCCTTTGAGAATGTACCATATTGAAATTCTCCTACCCGGGTGCAGAGATATACCTGCAAAGTGTATTTGTTGTATTATGAAAACGATGGAAACAGCCCAAGTGTCCATCATTGGGAGTTGGTTTAGATAAAATGTTGATCATTGCAACATATCAAATACTGGGCAACACTCAGAGAGGAGGTCAATGTGTGACCTGTCACGAGCAACAGGAGCAACATACAACCTGTCACGAAGGAAAGAAAAGCAGATTACAAAATGGCATAACTAGGCCAATCCCATCTTTGTAAGGGTATTTTATATGTGTAAAACTCAAGTAGGTCATACGCTTCATTCTGATGGGAATAAGCTTAGGTCACAGTTCTCTGCAATGTAAGAGAAGCTCTGAGGCTACACTAGCCACCTATAGATATTTACATTTAAAATGATGTTTAAAATTCAGTTCCTACCCTGACAGGGGCGTAGCTCAGTGGTTTGGGTGTTATCCAGCAAGGTGAAGTTTCAGTTCCTGGCTGGGGCACATGCCTGGGTTGCGAGCCAGGTTTCTGGCTGGGGGCATTCGAGAGGCAGCTGATTGATGTTTCTCTCCCTCTCTTTCTCCCTCCCTCTGAAAATAAATAAATAAAATATTTTAAAAAATAATTTAGGTCCTCAGTCACACTAGCCCATTTCAAGGTACTCACTAGTGGCTACCTATTGGGTGGTGGCGGTATAGACCATCTCCTCACTGCAGAGTTCTCTTCGGAATGCCTGCTCAAAGGAATGCCATGGATGAGGGTAAGGGGTCCATGGCAAGAGCTGATTTGTAGAAGGAGCTCCCTGACTTCGGGGTATCTAGCCTGTGCTCCAAAACTTACTGTGATATCGAGTTCCCGACCAGCCCTCAGGCAACGTCCTGGAGAAAGAGCAAAGACCCAGGAGCCCACACAGGCTGCTTCTGAGCAGCTTGCCCTCTACACTGTGCCACCTTGGGCAAGTGGCTTAACCTGGTAAGAAGTTTTCTTCTCTATGGAAAGGCAATCATTTTCTCTATATTATATGTTGGGAGTATTAGATATGTAAGAAGTATGGCACCTAGCACATAGTAGGTGTTCAGTAAATATTATTTTCTTAAATTAAAAAGAAAGTTATCGCAAGTGCTACGAAGAAGAGAGTCGTGTTGCTCTGGGAGCATCAGTAGGGGGTTTGACTTGGTCAGGCAAGTCAAGGGCAACTGCTGAGGGACAAGCAGGCATTGCTAAGGCAGACAGCAGGGAGCTGTGTTCCAGGTGGGCAGCAGCATACTACAAGGGCCATGTGGCAGGAAGGACTGAGGCCAACGGGCAGAACTGAAAGGCCAGTGGTGCACAATGGAGAGAGAAGGGAAGGTCCCAAACTGGAAAAGGGAGGCCAAAGTTGGCTAAGATTTTGTTCTTGTTCTAAAGTCAGTGGGAAGCCATGAACGGGTTTGAAACAAAAGAAAAAGATCAGATTTATGTATTTGCAAGATCACTGTGTCTGCAAGGCTGACAACAAACCAGAGAAGAACAAGGTGGATCCTGAAAGACTATTACAGTTTGGGCAAGAGGGAGGTAGTGTGTACTGGGGGTGATGGAGAGAGAAAAATGACAAATTGAAGGGAAATTTGGGAAGCAAAATCAACAGAACCAGGTCATAGACAGGATTTGGGAGGAAAGAAGTGACCCCAGGTTTCTGGCTTGTGCAGCAAAGTGGTTGACACTGCCACTGAGTCAGGGAACAGTGGGGTTGGGGGTTTGAACACGCCAAGATGAAATGCACATGAAGTCTCAGTGCTTGCACATGTCTAGAGCAGCGATTCTCAACCAGTGTGCTGCAAGAATTTGTAAAACATGCAACACCTGACTATTTAGTCTGGGACACTGTCCTCTTTTTCCTTAGATTGTCAAATTAAAAAATGACAACAGCCAACACAATAGTTGCGCTGTGAGAGTAAATCAAAATTATATCTATTTTTTATCAGATCAGCAGAAAACATATTTTTGGTGTGCCACGGAATTTTAGTAATTAATTTATGTGTGCCACGAGATGAAAAAGATTGAAAATTGCTGGTCTAGACCTTGAGTTCTGAGCTCGGAGACAGAAGGGCTCAGCTCTGTGTGCAGCGTCTGCCCCTAACCACTCTGGGTTCTGGCTTCTAAACCCTTGGTGCCCACCTTGGACTGTGGTTCACAATGGTCTGACCTTACTCAGGTTTCAGCAGGACTCTTAGACCTGCGTCCTGGACCACAGGAGCCTATGAATTCAACCTAAGATTAAATTATCTTTAGTTATCCTCATCAACCAGTTGGCTCATTTTGTGAATATCATCAACCATGACCCCTGGGTCTTTATTTCACAAGATGAGTCTCTGCCTTTTCTAATACTTGCAAGTTCCTTTCCAGCCAAGTTTTAACTCTTTGTTAAATATGCTTTTGGTGGTCATAGGTCATCCTCCCAAGCCTTTGAGATCATTTAGCCTCTTATTTCTAGCTCCCAGCAAGTCATCCACTGGGCGATTGGCATGTTTGATGAGCCTAATCCAGGGATTCTCCACTTGGGACTTCCAGACCTTGTTGGTGGGGGTGGGGGTGGGATCTGAGAATATGGGCCAGGAAAAAAATCCTTTATTAACTTCTAACTGAAACTCAGCATTTCATCCAAGTCTGAGTATGAGCAAAACTCCAGCTGTACTAGCAGTGCATGTGACCATCACTAATGAGCACCACAGCTGTTTTCGTGCCCCACAAGTCTTAGAAATCTCAGATGTTATTGTTGTACTATTTAAAATGTCAGTACTTAATACACCTGCTGCTAGATGTTATTAAATATACGTAAAAGGATGTTAATATAGCATAATTGTTAGCATTTTGGTAAACTCCATAATCCACACACACACACACACACACACACACACACCACTCTAAGTGGGTTTTAAAACATAATTCTGAGGAGGAATCAGTAGACCTCTCCTGACTGTCAGAAGAGTTCATGTCTCAAACAAGGTTAAGACCCAGGCCTCCTGCAGAGCTCTTGTTAGAGCTAATGGGGTTTATCAGCTGATGAAGCTGAGGTCCCACTGGCAAGGGCCTGGCTTAAGGAGACACAGAACACTGTTCTGCACAAAGTATGTGGTAGGAAATGGAATAGAGAGGAGGAAAAAGAAAAGGAAGAAAGAAAATGGGATGAGGGAAAGGAGGCCAGGAAGCAGATTTTACCAGAACCCCAAGAAACTTATGCATAGCTGTGGAAAACTCAATCTTTATTACTACCTGCCTAGTGCAGGGGATTAAAATTGTATTGAGCTAGATCCATATATTAGTGTAAAAATCTGTGTCTCTCCCACCAAAAATGTACAAACCCCAAGTGATTATAGAAAAACCAATGTGGCAGCTACAATAGAGATGCCCAATCCCAGGGCTTCAGGTGTTCTTCCCTCTTTCCCCTAATCCCAGTATTTATTCCACAGAAACATACAGACTTAGAG